TGTGACAGCCAAGGGCCTGGSCCGGGGGGAGCATCACACGGGAAGAGGAGGGCACAGCCGGGAGAGGGACCCGGGAGTAGGGGGTCCACAGCGAGGCTGTGACTTAGCCTGGGCTTGTCAGGGGCTTTGGCTTATATCCTAAGGAAAAGTGGCCAGAAGGAAAACTGTTGAGTGTGTCCCRCTCAGCATCACAGAGTGCTTGAGGTTGGAAGGGACCTCTAGAGATCATCCAGTCCAACCTGCTCCAGCAGGGACACCCAGAGCACAGGGCRGCAGCCAGGCGGGTTTGGAGACCTCCAGAGAAGGAGACTCCACAGCCTCCCTGGGCAGCCTGTKCCAGGGCTCTGTCACCCCCACACTGAAGGAGCTCTTCCTCATTTGGAGATGGGGCCTCCTGTGTTCCTGCCTTCCATGTTGGACAGCTGCTCATGGYGCCTCATCTCCCACACGGCAGGCACTGGAGCAGGCTGAGGCTTCCCCATTCCTGCTCCGTGTTTCCCTTCACACTGTCAGCTCGTTAGAGGGAACAAGTTCAGGARCAGATTTCTTACCCTGCAGTGCTTTAGATTCTGCAGGAGTTATTGGAATTTCTATTTTRCTTTTGCAACCTCATACCTGAAAGCTTACTTCACTATTGTGATCATTATGTAGCTTTACATTTCCATTGAAGATGTTCGGAATTGATCGATTTCATCTTTTCTGGTGCCTCACCTTTTGGTGAAAAATGCTAAAAGCTTCATAAAGTGCATAAAATTGTAGTTGTTAGGAAAATTTCCCATCCTTCCCCTCAGTGTGATTTACATTATTTTGTTCATTAAATGTGCAACTAGTGGAATTCTGCCATATCTGTATTAGGAATTATTAACAGGTGAAACAAACAAGCAAAAGCAAGTAAATCACTGTTTAAGTCTGGCCTAGTGCTATGGCAATTGAATTTTCTCTTGTGATAAATGCTTTTTCCTGTACAAAGCAAGATCTGTTTGCTTTTTAATAGGTTAAGAATCTACTCTTAAAAGAGCCGTCACCACAACTGACAATATAACTGAAAGAAGAGAGGACCACRTTTACAAAGTGGCTGATTCCAGAGTATTTCTGTCTTGGAAGCGATCCCTGCACATAAAGGCTGAGGTCCTGTGGAAAGAGATTGTATCTGTTCACAGAGCTTTAAAAAGAWCTTGGTGAAAGGTGGCAAATTTGATAAAGAGCACACACAGATTGGTACAAACCTTCATCAAATAAATAAAAATATTTGTCGTATATATATATATAAATCTTCATAATAGGCAGAATGCCCAAATCATTTTGTATTTCTGGTGAATGTCAGTCTTTCTCACAACTATTCAGAAAGTGTAAAATTCAGTCTAAACTTGGGGATCAAATGCCACTGATTTGCATAAACCAGCACTTTTGAAGACCTGCAGATTTTTTTGCCTGGAGGTTTGCAGGAAGCCCATCAAAAGCCCATGCATCCAAAAGCAAATGCAGCCCGATTCGATTACCTCCATGCTACAGATAAAGTCCTCTTACATAAACATTATGGAACTGGTCTCTACAGTTTTAAAGCTGCTTAGATGACAGTTAGGATTTCAGATAAGCTTTGCCAACACTGTGTGCCTACCAGTTTCTTTTACCATTTGACTTTGTTGGATTGTTCATATAGAATTTGTGTCTTCCTAAGCATGCCCTTTATAGAACTACAGAAATACAAAAGTGCATTCAAACTGTATCACCACAGACAGAAGTTTGAAGATTTGGAAAAGATTATGATGAACAAGAGCCTAAAAAATAAATTCCTCTGGCATTGTGCTGATCAACTTAAACAGGAAATGGTTGTTCTTCCTGTCAAGGCTGGATAACTGCATTCTGCCAAGTCTGCCTTTATTCTTCCCTTCCAACAGTTTTGCAAGGCTCACTTCAGAAGCATAATGAGGTGTCATGTCTTGCTAATAATAATAATAATAATAATAATAATAATAATAACAACAAATGGGAATATGGAAATGAGAAACTAAATAAATTTAGCTGGGGTACAGTTTGAAAAGTAGTGCTGCTGCCAACAAGCACCAGTTCAACCCATCAAACTGTTCCTCTGCATGGAAGGTTACTCACTGACATAATCTAAAATGTAATATGTCTTTTGGTACAGATGAGAAAACAAATTATGTGTCTGGAAAGCCAGAATTAATTAGATTCTTAGTGCATGATGGAAATGAAACTGCTAGGCATTTTCTGTGGAGATATATGTATGTAGGAAAGATTGCACTGCCTTTTACATTATGACCTGGCCTACAATGAATGAATTTACAGTAGATTTTAAAAACTTTTTAAAAACTTAAAAGCTCTTCTTGGCTGTAATTTTCAAGAGATTGAAAACTTAAAAATTATAGCCAAAACATGATTAGCCTTAACTATGACAAAGGCTGTACAAATTCTGAAGATCCTTCCTGTTAGCTTCATTTACTTGTTTGTTTATAAACTAAAAATAGTAGGAAAAGAATAAACACTTTAAGATATGCAACCATAGGAAATGATCAAAGCGGGGAAGAACAAAGAAGATAGGGCAGAAGAACAGTGAACTCATACTAACCAGTAGGTCTGGACACGTAGCCAGAAAACATAAAGGAACAGATGGAAAAAGCGACATAGACAGAAGCGAGGCAAAATGATGGCTTAAATGCAAGTCTCTTATGAAAGGAATTATATCTGAGCCTTACACAGTTACACGTCTTTTCCCCTCTTGCCCCGTTTMTGACAATCATTAAGCAGTATTCACCCTTCCACGGCTACAATGTAAAGAGACAGGAAAAAATAGAAGGTTGGGGGGCAAATGTGTATCAAGAAACTAGTACGAAACCAACAGGGTCATGGAGTTACCAGTCAGATTTTGCAATGCCCTTATAAATTCTTCTCCAAAGACGTTACAACAAAGATTTGACAACTCAGATTAGTATGTAACAGATAGTGGATGTCTTATCTTTACTGATTTCAAGTCAACACTAAGCACAAACAAGAGTAACATGAAAATCCAGTGTTTCAACAGGTATGACTTACCTGGGTAGGAGCCTGCCAAGTAAGGGATGACGAGCTCTTACTCTGCTTCTGCGTGTTGTTGAGAGGCTGTTCTGTGAAAAGCAGAACTGCAAACAGTCTTATCAAGTATAAACCTGCATTTTKGGGCTGCTGCAAGGTAGGTGAATCCTCCTATTGTTGCAGGAAAAGATGCTAACCTTTTTAGGTAAGGTGATCAGCGAAGAGAATATTAAAGTGTACCAGACAGAGTACTTCAAGATATGCTGGAAGCGATTTCAGAATACAGCTTTAATGCAGGCCAKTTATTTTGCATTACCTGAGGCAGTTGCCAAATCCAGAGGGTGGCTGCTGAAGASCAGGACTGCAGCAAAGACAGGCCAGAATGTTACAGACACCTGGGACAACATGGAGAGGTACAACAACCTGTTCCCCTCTATACACAAACTGAGGGAGAGCTTGGGAAAGGCAATCAACTATTTATAGTAGGTAGGCGCTATCATTTCCCCTTTGCAACTACTGTAATACAGCAGGTAACGAACACCAGAATCCAACCTCTTTCCACCTTCAATTTTGGCAGAATCAGAGAACATCTTTGGACATGGGAAAGTTCAGCTTTCCAGCAATTGCAGCACCTGAGACCCACAAGTGAAATGCAGACTACTCAGCTACCACAGTCWGCCTTCACTGAGTCTGCAAGACTGACACAGGATTTGAAAATGAAACATGGTTCACATCAAGGAAAGCAGTTGACATCTGAGATGTCACTCTGTTTTTATATGATGTTTACATCAGGATTAGGCACTCCTTGAAGGAATTCCGGATTTTGACTTATTTGTTTCATGATAAGTATCTTTAATATAAAATTGCACTTTTGTTTATTATTCATCTCATTGTATGAGACTATAACAACTAGTAGCTTCACTTTGCAATTTCCTGGCTCCTGAAGATACAGCCTCTGCTTTTCAGGTTTATGCTATTAATAGAATGTCTTTTTTTTTTCACAGTAGAAATAAATGCAAATAAAAGTTTCCTTTTGTCCTATAATACTAGATTAATGTTTATTTTCTTTCTAGTATTGTGGAAGTATCACCCCAATTGCCAATGAGAACAGGTATTTGAATGATAAAGCATCATTATCAAGAAAGCCTGTTCATGTTATATCCTATGACAAATTCATCACTCATGGCCAGGAAAATAGTAGTCAGAAAAATGTGAATTTAATTTAATTGTAAATTTAAAGTGTAAATTTGTTTTGTTTTTAAGGAAGTTATTCATTTGCCTTTCCTCCAACTTCGTTAAGTTACAGMAAATTTGAGCAAAATCTGCGAAACAGAAGAATCCTGTATGTTTCCAACACGTAAGTGGATAACAGTTTATGGACTGATTTTTCCCTGCCAAAACAGCCCAGTCCTCTTTGATGTAATTTTGTATAATTCACAGCCTGCCTTGAATAAACAGTCCAGCACARGAGCGTACTGGGAAGCAGAACGTGGCGCAGCAAGTTCTGCCGTAGGGCAGGCGTGTGAACTGGGGGCCTGGCCAAGGGCTCGACTCCCACCGCGCCGAGCGGCCCGCTCCCCCGGCGTGCTGGAATGCTGCTTTTAGACCGTCTCCAATTTAATCATTCTGTGTACAAAACAGACCATTCCTCCTAAACAAATACCACGACGTGGCTGCTGCTTCTTTGTTCAGCATGAGCCCTTAGGCACTGTGCACTACTGGATTTTTTTCCCTGAAGGGAGAGTTATGCTGCTGGTTCCTGAACTTTAAATATGGTCCTCAAGGTAATAAGGGAGTCTAGGGGTACTAGCTTAAATCTTTGCAACTGCTCCGTGATTTCAAGGGCAACCTGATTTTTCTATATCACACCCTGCAAGATTAACCTAAAGACATTGATTTCATCAATCTTGCGGGACCATTTTGGAAAATATTTCAAACTATTATCTAGTACTTTCTGTGTTCAAAGCATAGCTTCTACTAACTTCAGGCATATGTATGCTGTATTTATCATATACATGTTCAAAATGCAGAAGTTAGGAGGCTGGGAAATGAGAAGTACAGTATTTATGATTAACAGCAAAAAGCTAGATATGTCACCACTGCATTTCAAAGAAATTTTGGGACAAACACATGAATAAGTCTTATTGCTCTAGGCAATTAGTTAAATGCCTTAACTCTCATTTCTCTCCTTAAAATTCTTTATCTACTTTCCAACTACTAAAGCAAATCCAGGTTCTTGAGAAACAGATCTCCCTACTAYACAACTTCAGTTCACCCCTTGAATGGCATAGTATAGATTCATACCCAGATCATCATATTTATTGTTATTATGAGCACCTAAGAGCTCTACTTATGAATAAAAATGTTACCATGTGCCAGACACTGTGCAAAGACTGAGGAAGATGCTTCATATTAGGAGTTAAGAAATGCCCAATGGCCACAGAATGGGAGGGAAATTCAAGGGAACAGCAGAGGTTGGCTGCTTGGCTCTCAGCAACTCTCCTGACAGCAYCATCCCAAAGGAACATTTAAGAAGGATCTGAACACTAAGTCACCCCAGTGTTGGCAAGTCTGTGTGAACTCCTCCACACATGGAGAGAAAACATGGAATAACGAGTCAACGACACTRGCTCCATGGAGAGGTTGAGTGGAGGGAACTTCATCCTCACAGCTACATCAGGAAGAACAGTTAACACAAATGCAGTCTACTTGTTGACTGTGCCTGCTGTCAGCAAGCATATGTTACAAGCAGGCTCTAGAATAACAAGAAAAAGAGTATTTWTATATATATACATATATATATGTAACTTGGTGAGACAGTCATCATGGTGCTGACTCTGTAGGTTCTTCATACACAGTTAAGAGAAGACAATACAAACAAGAAACGCAACTCACCCTTTAATCCCACTCTGTCACTGCTTAGTCCGGAGGCCTGAGCTACTGAATTTATTCTGACTTTTGCTTACATAACGAAAAAGAAAAAAAAAAAAAAAAAGCTGGGGGAGGATCAAGGCAGAATTAAAAAAAAATACAATCTAGGTGTTCAAGAGCCAGGTACACCTGCCATCACTGCCTTGGATGTGTTCTGCTCACGGCAGGTCCTCCTCTGGCTGGCCAGGCTGGAGACACCTGTAGTTAGAGGGCGGAGGGATCCGGATCAGCCGCAGGCCTCAGCAGCTGGCTCCCTGGCCATGGGAAATGGCAGGCGTCCCGAATGGTGTGTTTTGCCACCTGCTTCTCCTATAATTGTATTGTTAACACTATAAGCATCATAAAGTGGAGGATTAAAGCACCAGCTTCAGTTTGTTTTTTGTCTAGAACTCCCATCAATCTGCATATACGTGCAGTTTTCTTATCTGAAAGATGTCTGTTTCCATTAGCACTGAAATTGTTAGATCTGTTGTTTTYTCTGAAACACACGCCAGTGGAAGGACTAGACTTTAACTTGGTGGCAGAGTGATCACAACAGCAGTTGGTAATGCCAATTTTTTATAAAAATATACAGCAGGCTAGACCACATCCTCCTGTAAGAAAATCCCCATGCAGAGATTGATGAAAATTAAGTTTGTAAGAACTTTCTCCCACACTATTTCACACACCATTTTTCTACCTTCCGATTTCACTGGGGGAGAGAGGTGGTGAGGAGCCCTCCTCAACACTTAGTCCCCAGGAGTGCAGGCAGATCCCAGGAATCCACAGGGATGTGAGAGGAGCCACATGGAGGCCATGTCCCTGTAGGAGCCCCGCATCTGCTCCTGGCCCCTCTTTCCCAACGACACAATCAGCAATGATTCTTCATTTGCAATGATGCCGTATCTGATTCCTCGCTTCCTGAATGTAAAGAATTCCATTCTGAAGGACAGCCAGGCAGATATTTATCACATTTTCATGTTGCTATTTTTGAAAAATAGGTACACAGTTTTGTCATGCACAGCTTACAACAGGAAATGGTTTGAGTTTGTGGCAACGTAGCTCTTACTGAACAATGAGATGGTTATACCCAGTTTAGTGGATGCTTTAGGATTGCTCTGCATCTTCATATTGACCATTTAACAGTTTCAGAAAACATTTATAAAGTACTGGAAGAATTTTGAGGATTTTCTTTTGTTATTTCATTGATTATTAGAAGCTAACTAGTGAATTTAGAGCATGTTGGAGTGGGTAATACTGTTTTTAGTCTGTGGACAGAGCTCCCATAATGAAGACTGGTTTGCAGAATATGGCCCAAAGTTTACTGGGGAAAGTTACATGTCCACACTCTACCTTATTTATAGTTATGTTTTGCTGTTAGCACAATACTCAATTCTGTTAAAATATCACTTTCATCTTTGCAAGAATGTATTGACTTTGTGGACTAAACTCTATCCCAGCTAGGGCTGGTGTTACTGCCTTTGTGTGAAGATGAAGCACCTGGAAATTATAATGTGAAGAGGCCAAGTGTAGAAAAATAAATAATATTCAACTGCCTATTCTAAATGCAGTTGTCTGCAAGAAAGCATCTGATCAATGTTAAGTGATTTTTTACTCTCACATCAGTATCTTTTTTACTCATCCATCAACTGATTAGAGTCAGTAGAAAGGGACCTGCTGGCATCAATAGGTTTGAATTGCATCATTCCAGAAGACACCTCAGCTAGTTTTATGAATGTATTTCCAAACTTCATTAAAACCTCTACCAGCTTGCTGTCAACTACAGTTAAAATGCTGTAGTAGAGATGGGGAGATTGGAAATTTCCAATACTAAACTGATCTATTAATAAAATCAAAGTTACAAGAGGCTTTTTAATTAAGGCTTTCTTATATTAAACAAACAAACAAACAAGAAGACAATTTTCCTTTTAACCACTGTAATTTCATTTTATTTGATAACATTAAAGTAAAAGTTTTGTTCTCAGGTCTGCACCCTGGGTCTCAGTCTGACCTCATTCCAGACACAGAAACAGATTAGCCCAGTGAGGACCTGCAGATCTGAAAACTGGCCTATAAAAACAGTTTGAGACTTGCTTCTGTTATGATTAGTACCCTTTATGAATGAACAATTTTATCACAACAATTGAGTTTATTCCCCTTTTTGCTTTAGTTATACTAACAGCACACGTAGTTGACTCAGCATTTCTACACCTTCAGTTAAAGGCACTTCATGAACTTCATTTATTTTGTCAATCTTCCCAGAAAGAGTTAAAGGATAAGAATGTTCTTCTGGCATTTGTATTTTCATTGGCTTTCATTATATATTCTCCATAATGAAGTGTTGATAATTCTCTCATAAAATATGCATCAAAATAAATAGACAGCGGAGCGATTCACATGTCCCAAAGGCAGAATGTGCTGTGTGGCAGCAAAGCTCTCTGCAAAGTGCTCTGAGAGGTTGTGCAAAAGCCAAAGTGCTGTTGAAAGGCACTAGAGAAAACCTCCTCCACTGACAAGTGCCCTGCTTATAGACACTCTCTCCTGTTGGACCCCAGTACATTTGTATCCCTGCCTGTTTCCTGCTGACAAGTACACTACACAGAGTAACTATTACTGCAGAATTACAAATGTTTTGGATTTTCCTACTTGATTTGTAAATGTAACTCAACGTTAAGGCATTATTCATACATACACGTGCACAGCACACTACCTTGGTGACTACACTGCACAACATCTGTATTATTACGGGCTTCCACTGTAAAAAATAATTTTGATAACAACTATAAATACAAGGAAAAAAAGTTATGTAGAAGCCATACTTCCCACTTAGAAATAGAATTGCTTAAAATCCTTAAACTTGCTTAAAATCCTTGAACTCTTCAGCTCTTTAATAGTTAGGCCAGTAGCAATCCCTCCCTTAAGCTCTTTTTTCTTAAAAAAACACTTGAGAAAGCTCAAGTTTTCTTCAGCCTCCAGTCAGTTCACTTAGTTTTGTCTGTTAAATGGAAAAAGTGTTCCAAACATAAGAAATTGTACGTTTTTATGCTTAAGTTATGATGTTCATAGGAAACTCAGTAGCTAGTAGCTACTAATCTATACTAGCTTAGTAAGAATAACATGAAAATCTTGTTTCTATTCTGAAAGTTAAGGATTTTATTTGAAAAAAACTTTGGGAATTATACAGATAAGAATTAGCTATCTGTAACAACTTTTTAAATAGTATTAGCTGAATTCTCTTCTTCTGAATAATAGAAGTTGTTTTAATGTCTTCTAAGTATTTTTTTTTTTTGCAAAGACAGAGGTAGAGAAAGAGAAAAGGAAGAAAGAGGCAATAATTGAAAATGAGTCCCTCCTCATAGTAAGCACTTACTTAGTAGTTCTTACTCATTTGCAATGTAGATAACTTTGTGCTTTTCGATGACGTCTATGTCATGCTCCAGTTGTTTCATCTGCGATTCCAGTTTTTCTTTATGCATCTTCTTGGGTATGGTGTCAATATCCACAGAAAGACACTGGAACTCATGGTACACCTCTTCCCAGTTCTTTTTCAGACCCTAGAGCCATTTCATGAAAAGGAAATATTAGAAAAATGTACTTCATCAAGGATAATATACACAAGCTATTTTGATTCTTTTAATATTGACTTTGTCATTGCAATGTTAAAATAATAGATAAATATATAAGAATATAAATATGGAAAATGCTTAACTAATTTGCTCCTCACTTTCTCTCCTAAAAAAACTGAGGAGAGAATGATGGAAACCTCAAATCCCAAGCATGCAAATCTAAAACTGTTTAATACATGAAGCATCCTTAAGAAAATTCCATGATGAACTTAACAAGCACATGTGCCATGAGGAGCTCATACAACAATCAGCAAATAATAGAACCCCCTAGTCATCAGCGGGAGAACATTTTTCCAAAACAGCTACTTCATTTTTTTTGGCTTTCAGTTGTTTCTCCAGGGGAGATCACAAAGTAGCTTCAAAAATGAAGGCCTAAAAGTATTCTCCTGGGAACTCAGTTTCTTAACTCTGTTTTATGACAACAAAAAATGATATTTTAATAACACAATACAATGTTATGATTTTATGAAATATTATGATTTCCCTTCACCTCCATCTGCTGAACAAATTACTATTCTCTCTTTCTTTAGTATAATCATTTTATTACTCCATACTAACATGTCCTTCTTCTCCACTATTACTAACCACCTTTTCTCCCAGAATACTGACTAGCCCTTTAAAAAAGAAAACAAAAAGCTGCCTGCAAATGCCGACTACGCAAAACATCCATTTTAATATGAACTAATATTTTACTGATTCAAAGCAGACCATTTGTTGCATAACAGTTCATGCCTTGTGTATCATAGTGAGACTCAACAAAGCATTTGGCCTGTAACTGCTATTCCTATAATCTTCATATGCAATTATCTAAATAAATTCAACCCCCCTACTTTAATATATGAATCTAAGAGCAATATAAAAGCATATTTATTTACTGTCTTGTAACGCTATTTGTCTTTGCAATCAAAAGCTGTAAAAAGTACTCAAAGAATGTTCCTAGTATTAAGGAGCATTTGCAAAGTTATACTTAATAAATATATAGTCATGAAAACAAATAAAGTCCTTCTGAAACGTCCATAGAAGAGACATTCTCTACTTTTTTTGATAATTCTTCTCTGTTTACATTAATAAAAGCTGGTTTGGAAACCACTGAAAAAAAAAAAAAAGCATTTGAAAACATACTGGAACTTCTACTCATCACAATTTATTCTGTCCCCACAGAGTGCAGAGATCAAAAGCAAATTGTGACTCCTTCAGCCCAGCTCCCTCACAGCTGTTCCAACAGCTATGTAATATGTTGACTGTTATTGCTATGGGCTAAATCACAAGCTGAATGTCTAACTCTATTTAAGGAATTCAAATACATGCTGGATCAGTGAGAAATATGTAGTGCATTTCTCAACATTCTCTTTTCCTGTCATAAAATCACTACCAACATAAGCATAACTGAGACATATTTCAAAAAATGTTGGCACAAACGATTTCCGCTTATTTTGTAAGTTCATAAGGCATGATTTTGCTCTCAGACGTCTATTGCCATGTATTTTTAAAAATCAGATAGTGCACATGTGTGCACTTGCACAGTCAGTTATTTTAAAAGCCAGGAATTCCCATGTGTCTACATCTGAGCACCGGATAGAAGCCACATACCCTGGGGACACTAATTCCTCCTGACATTACAACAATATAAATAATGTGCCCTAAGAATAAGAAAACGTTTTGAAAAAAAAAAAAAGATACTGAATTTATAAAAAGAATCTAAAATTCTTAGTTAACAAAGATGACATTTCTTCTTGCTGTTTTATTTGAAAAGTGTAAAACACCATTTTATCAGACAGCCCAGAGAACTGTGAGCAGCTGAACTCATGCTCCTTGTTTCACACGTATTTCAGCTGCAGACTTAACTGGCTGAACCACCAACTTCTCCCCTGCCTTCCCCATGACAACAATATCCTCCTCTTCATCCTCGGGTCACGTTTCTCGCATTGCGGCCACTGCAGTATCCTCACCTCTCTCTCCTACTGCTTCCTAGACTTTTGGGGGTTTCTCCATAGGCACATTATTGTGCTGGCTATTTTGGATCTATCCTTTTGCTGATCAGTCACTTATCTTTGCAAGTGAGTTAGACGTCGTTTTGTCTCTAGATATTTTGCTGGTCTTTTGTGGGAATGGAGTATTTTGGAGATGTCCACCCATGTGCTGATTTGCTACAAATGATTCCTAAGATCAACAGTTATTAAGGGACAGACTGACAAACAGACATCACTATTTGAATAGGAAACTTAGTTAAAAAGTGGTCATGAGAACTTGCAGCTTAAGAACTGTATTACACAAAGATATGCTGATAAACACATAATTACCTCCATGCAAGTCTCTTTAAAGTACACTGTATTTGTACAGTATAACTACAAAATACAGATAGCATCAAAAATAATGTGTTTGACCATTTGAATAGCTGGTTTAAGCTAAGAAACAGTCCCTATCTTCTCATCTCTTCCTATAGTATTAATTTTACCCAGTTAATGCAAGGTTCCTTTTCCCATCAGCTTCTGGCCCCCCAGGCCAGCAGCCTGTCTATCTTTGCTCGCAGAGCAGTACAGTCTATTTTGTTTCAAATCTCAGATTTTTTTTTCCTTTACTATACTTTTAAAATGTTTATTTACCTCTCTACTTCTTTGATGGTATTGTTTCTCTTTGCAAAATCTTTAGTCCACACTGCATGGAGGGCTATACAAAACAACTAGACAAAATACTCTTTTTTTGTCATAATTCTACAAATACATTACAATTGAATTCTGTTTTGCATTTTTGGCCTAACACATGCCACAGCATGACCCTATGCTTTAACAACTGAAGTCACGATGTGAGATACTGCCAATAAATGTGGTGTTATGTATCAGGAAAAAACAAGATGCGATTTGTGTTCTCCTGAGATTCAGAAGAACAGAGTGAGATCTGTCTCTGCCTCCATACAGCTGTTTCTCTGAACCCCTTCAAAGCGTCACTGCATTTCCAAATGGGTGAAGAGGATATGAGCCTCATAGAACTGAAGCACTTCTAGGGCTGGTGCGTAACTGCTGCTAGACCATCTCCCTTCAGCTCAACTCACAACTGTTCTATAGCTCCATCTAGTGAAAAAGCAGCCAGTCCATTTGTCTTAAAAATGTAGTGCCCTCTTTGTATGGATTTACATTACCTTATTAATCTTCTACATATGTTACTATATACACTAAATCAAAATAGGCACCTGCAGAAGACTGTCCCTCTCTTCATCAGACAACCGTTTCATGGCTCTTTTTTTGAGAGATTCCAGGACATAAGCCTCATGTTCTTTCTGAGCTCTCTTAATTTCTTCGTTTCTCTGTGTTACATATTTTGGTACAATACCATAATCCTGTAAGGGTAAGGAAAAAGTCAACGTGTACTTTCAAAAACAAACCAAAGACACACTTGTCACATATAGTATATTACGTTTACAAGGGTAGTTTGAAAAGGAATTTTCTACTACAGAGCTATAAAATCTTAAATTGCTGTGTTCTCAGAAGTATAAAACATTATTCTCCCTGTAGTGTCATCAAAAAGGATGAAGAATTTCCACCAGTTTTGTTTACCATGTCAAAACACATAGGAAACCAGAAAACAAAACCCCTATTTATAAGAACTGATGTTAGAGTGAGGAGTTTGAAATTCTACCTTTGGAAATACATGTTCCTTATTCCTGCTAAAACACTGTAAGCCATAAAGAGAATCAGAACTACTAACTAGCAACTAACTAGTAACTATAGTTGCTCTAACCACACATCTTTTATCTCCTACGGGGTTCTATTTTGGAAATACAGGTCTCAATCGTGACAGCGGGGCAGGCTGCCAAGTGGTCACTCAGCAGTGAGTTGGTTCTCGTTGGGGTCAAACTCCTTGTGATCTGAGATGCGAGGGGAGCTGGTGCCCGCTGCCTGATGTGGTGGCTACAGGTGGGACAGCTATAGACTAGTGGGACCCTTGAGTGAGCTAGAAGAACCAAGTCCAGCTCTTTGTCTCCCCATTAAATCCACCCTGGGCTTCTCAGGTGCCGCATCTGCTTTGCTTCAGCAGCATCATTTTGGCAAGCTGCTGCTGACAACATAAGCAAGTTAAGATAAGATAGAGTTGCACCTTTACAACTGTAGTGCTTATGATTTTTCCTTGACAAATTTTGAGGTTCTAATACAAACAGTATCTAAACATCTCGAAAAAAATCATAAACATTTCACAGGAGAATACAGTAGTGAACTGAAAAATAGCCATTAGTATGGATATTTCAGTTATAATTTAATACCACTTACCTTTTTTTTAATATATTTTGGAACAAGCCCTGAAGTTTCAAGCAGGTGTTTGTCTCCCTGTCTTCTATCAACGTAAATAGGTTGAGGCTTTTTAGCCAACCCCATGATAGCAGCAACAGCATTTGCATTTATAAAATTCTTTTTACTCTGAATTCCCATAAGTGGGTGATCTGTCCTCCGTGGCACTGTTAATGCAGGCATTTTCTTACTATCCTGTTCTTTTTTTCCTGTGAATTGAGCATATAAACATCCTCAGCAATAATCATAAAGAACTTTACAGTTACATATTATTACATTTCTCAAGAGCGAGAAATTATGTTCCAAATTACATAAAGACCAATTGAATCTAAAACATAAAAATTCACTGTATACTCTGATGAAAACTAGTATGTTTGTTGAACATAGTGGAAATTAACCTAGGAAATACTGAGTTCTTTTAGGTGGTCTTTCTATACAATATGCAGCTCATTACTTCTTAAGCTTTGGATTCATTTCAAATGTCTTTAAAACTACTTTTCCAGAGATGCTCTTAAACAATTAATCATAATCCTTTCTCCAGAGAACAAAGAGACTCTTCATTTTCTGTGTAATTTTTTTCTCCAAGGCTTCGACGGAGTCAGTAGTCTCTGTTCTGGTGAGCGAGGAAGGACAATCCATTTCTCGCATATTTCCCAACACATATAACTTAAATTGTCCTTATCAAAGATACCTCAGAAGAAGCTGCAGGAGTTTGATTCAGGGTGTCTAAGCTCACACTCTCATTCTTTGGCAGAAAATAAGTCTGGAATGTCACACATGACAGCGCTTTTCCTACAATGGTTGATTTCCTGATACTAAAGACATGAACCAGTTCTTTGCTGGGTTTTGCTTTTGCAGCCTMCTGGTGCCAAAGACAATTGGTAACTGGTTAAACTACTAGTTATGAAAGTGTCTTCACATGTCTTAAAAAGACAGATGCTTTAAAAGAAGTGATTAAACAGCGTAACCTTTCTGAGATATGCATCAAACTCCATCCAACAAAGATGCAAGAACTTTCCAAGTTAGTGATGGAATTTCATCTCAGGATGTATTAGGATCTAATGGCACTGTAATAATAAGTCTGTATGGAAGCTATGATGTGTCAAGGTCATTTTGAAGTCCTAGCACAATGGCTCCTAATGCAAACACCAAAGCATGTGTTAGTATGAAGCCCTGAATCGCTAACTTGCTGTAGGAACAATGTGAGCAGCTTGGTTGAGAAAAATGTCATAGCACTGAATCTCCAAATATGGCCATTTTAAAAGTAGGTAACATTGACATTATGGTAAAAGTAAATAAAAAGGGATCTTATGGTCTGCCCAAAGTTACTGGTGAATCAACCTTCTTTATTAAATCCATCTGAAATATGGATTTTAGTAATTTAATAAGTTCTTGTGCTTGGAAGCATTAGTGCTCTGTTGTTCCAAAATATCACATTCTGGCATACTGAACACTTAAAAAAAAAGTTAAGATTCTATTCAAAAACCACCCAAGATGCCTGCAGGGCCTCAGAGACTTAAGCTTACTTCAGAGTTCTGATAATCCACATTGCTTGGGGCATCAAACCTCCAAAACCTCCCAGCATAGCCCATATTACCAATATCTGAGTTGTCTGTACGTACCAGACAGATTGGTCTAAATTAAATAATTCTTCATTTAAATATTAGCAGAGCAGAACATATCATTGGCACATCTCTAATATCTAAATGGCAGCAACAAAAAGAGATTCAATGATATCTTTTCTGTTCACTTCACATCACACAACAGTAAAGACTTCCCATATTTTCTAGTCACAATATTTTCCATTCACATATCTTTCTGTTGCTTGATTCAGTATTTTAAATAATAAAAACAAGAAAAATATTTTTCTAAAGTAGAGAAATATTATCAAAGCAAAAGGTAAAATAGAAACTATCCCAGGATCCAAAAATGATTTTAAACTTCAATAAAAAACAGATTCTAAATAATTAACAATATTGTTTTCAATTTTAATATTATCATTTCTAAAATAACAAAAAAAAATACTACTTTTCATAGATTTCCTGTCAAAACTTACTCTCTGGTAACTTGGGTTCCTTTGAATGTTTCTGCAGGAAGTTTTTTGGAGAGGGCACTTCAACTTTTGCTGGTCCCATTGTTTTCCACTGAGATTTACTTTTCTCTATTTCACGTTTGATGGATGGTCTAAAAGTTGATACATACCTTTGGTGTTAAAATAGTCATAAAGAAGTTAAAGGTCAGCAAATGATTTCCAAGTCCTGAAAAATCCTACATTTTGGAGAAAAATGTTTTTGAGTGTTGCTTACTAAAACTCTGTCAGAAACACAGATTCATCATTTTCATGAGGTTATGCACCACATCCTTGGCTTTCTGACTTTTAAAAATATTTTTAAGGAATATTTAAAAAATATATTTGTATAGGGGGGCAACATATCTTGTTCTAAACTGCATCCAAAATATACTGCTGTTGTGTATCTGCAGGAAAATATAAATCATAAGCCAACTTCACTTGATTTTCYACATTTGGAAATTTGTGGTCTGGGAAAGGTGCAACCATTAACGCATCTCAAACTTGTTGCAGAAGGTGGGACCTTACATACCATTCTAATCAGACATACCAAAGGGAAAACTCAGGTGGCTTCAAAAAAAGAGTTCCCTACTGATAATATGAAAATTCATAGTTTCATTCTATTACATAAAATGTGTTTTAAAGACATTATATAACACATGAYGTTCAGAAAACATCAAAGCCTGCGATGGAGAGTTGGACATGTCTTTGATCGTGAGGTCACCTCACTACAATCCACTCTATCATTTGTTCAACCTGCTCTTGAACAGAGAGCTTGAACACAGCCTCTTGTCACAGGCTAATGTAAGAGATGAGATTAGAAGGGAGAGTGCTCTGAAATAGCACAGCAAATTCTGTATAAGCCTTACAGGACAGAAATCTGATCCTGAACTATTGTAATCAGTGCTGGTTTTTACAAAATCTCAGAATCACGGAATGGTTGAGGTTGGAAGGGACCTCTGGAGATCATCTAGTCCAACTCTTCTGCTCAAGCAGGGACACCTGCTGTTTTGTTTTTTCTTTCTTTTTCTTCTTTTTGCCACTAACTTGGAGCTAACACAGAAATCAAAGAGAGCTCAGGCATGGAAGCTACATGCACACACTGCTGCTTTGCCCTCATGCCAAACGGTGCCCTAACTCCTGCTTTAATCAAAAGTACACAAATATTTTCTCCAAAAGAAGCCAAATGCTGATCACTAGCTGGTGAGCAGCACCTTGTATGAGAACAGAGAACTGGGCTCTCCCAGGTACTTTACCAGATGTATCAGAATTCCTTCTCCTGAAGGTAAGGCTACCTTGCCATGCACCTTGTCATTAGGAATAAGCCCTCCTGTCTTTAGGAATAATGTCATATTCATCTCTGTTTTCACATAGAAAAATCTTAGAGTGTTCCCTGAAGAGCTACACCATATTATCAAGTAAGGAAATGGAGGAAAAAAAAGCCAAAAGATTATATGCAACACAGCCTATGTTACTGAAATAGGAAAAAGGAAGGAAGAAATGCTGGACCAGGGAGTGGGAGTCATAGTAGCAACATCAACAAAACCATTTGTACATGAACTGCACATGTCACCTAGATGTAATTGTACTTGCTTGTAACATTAGCAAATGTGAAAGGACTTGAACTGTGGAACCTTTTCTCTTCTTGTGGTTTGCCCTCAAAAATGAGAAAGAGGGTTATGTAGATAAGACTATTTATAATTTCAGAAACATCTGTAATTACAAATAATCAAGTCTAATTACAAATAATGAAGTGAATGAGAAGGTAATGGTTTAGGGAGTTTATTGTGTATAACGTTTAAAGATGTCTTTTAAAGGTGTAGTCAGCTTTTGTAGCCAGCTGTAGGCAATCCTCTTTCGATGAACAGATATGGCATCTTCTCAGTGAACATTGACACATGGGCAAAAAATGCTGCTGTACACCAAAAATAAGAGCTAGAGGTCAGGAGCAGGAAAACAGTCATAGACTTCAGGATCTTAATCTATTCAACACTTGGCAAAGCGAGAAAGGGCAATATATATTTATAGGAAGACGATTAGATCTCATCTTCTTGGGAGATAAAGGCTGGAGAAAATGAGGATGCCGGCTTTGGTTCCATGAGTAGTACCAGTCAGTTGGGAGTAAAATATATCTATGATTTCATTAAAAAAAAAAGACCCTTTATTTTGTACACAGTAGTGAAAAATGGCCAGCTCACGCTATTAGCCAGTTTCGAGCTGTTGTCACCAGCTGGATATTTGACACACTCTAAACCAAAGCAAGAAGTGGAGTGAAGGGGGAGAAATAGAAAGTGATAAGTGATAAGATTGCATTCAGCCTAGAGGATCCCTTTGCTAAACTGAACMTGACAGAGAACTGTCATGCAGCATCCAGAATGGTACTAGGATGGGAAGGGATTTAATGTGCTGCTTGCCTGGCTATTCTGTCGTTTCATTTTGGTCTGTCCACCAGAATCATTCTTGATTCATACTGGAAACAAAATGTAGTGTGCATTTTTACATAGAAAAGGTTCGGAATGACAAATCTGGTGTGTCTGAACAGGGGTTTCTTTGTTGTAACTATCTTTGTTGTAATGTCACTGTTATTCTCACCAATTTTGAAGCTATTATGAGCTATTTAGAGCACTTTATGAGCTAGGTTAACCCTTCACTATAAACGGTCAAGTGTAATATCTTTTTTTTTTTTTTACACAAATTAATAGGAACCAGAAAAAAATATATGTTTATGTAATTATCAAAAGTGAACTAGCATGRAGTTCATAAAGGATTAACACTAGGTGGGCAGAAAGCATTTTTTTCTTAAGTGTCGAGGACGGACAGCAAAAGCAGTGTCACAAGTCTCACAAGGAACATCACAAGTCTCAGGACGGGGCGTGTGATGCTGAGAAAAATCCCCAAGGAGGAGCCTGCTGGGCGCCTCGTGATTCTCTGTGCGGGAACGCTGCCTTGTCACTGCTGTGTCAGTGAACGGGCCGGCAGCAGAGATGGCTTCAGGGAGCTGCCTGTGACCCCTAGACGGTGGTGACCGTGACTCATTAGCAGGAGCGCCAGCGAGGCGGGGACCAGGTTTATCTTTACAGCACTCTCTGTCTCCCGCCCGTGTGACTCWGGCGGCCCCTCGCCGCACGTACCTGGGCGGCCGGGCCGGCCTCTCCTCCAGGCGGGGCAGCAGGTTGTAGATGCTCTCCGGGGCGGGCGGCGTCGCCATCCTCCGGCGCGAGGGCCCTGCATGCACACAACAGCCCTCCGTGATGCCCGATCCCTAATCCCCGATCCCGCTTCCCTCCGTCCCTCGCTCCCTCCCTCGCCCCCCCCGCCCCTACCCAGCGCGGGCGCCCAGGGCCCGGGGCACGCGGGGGCCGACATGTTGTTGCCTCCGCGGTTGCTGGGGAAACCGGTTGCTTAGTAACACACCCTGGAGGGGCGGCACCCGCGCCCGCCCACTTCCGCCTCCCGCAGCGGAACTCAGGGACGCATGCGCAGCCGCTCCCAGCCGCGGAGGTGCAGGCGAACCTGGAGGGTCGCGCATGCGCACGGTGCCTAGGTGAGCGCCGGGAGCTAAGTGGGGCGTGCCGGGTGGATCTCACTGCGCGTGCGCGGCGGCGGGGGGGGTGGGGCAGGCAGATGGCTGCGCATGCGCGGGGGCGCAGGTGAGGCTGCGGCGCGGGGGC